CCCCTGCGCCCGCCCCAGCGCCCTCAGGCCGTGGCTGGGAGCCTGTGGGGTGCGGGGCCATGGGACCGCCATCCCTGTCCCCAAAAGCAGCCGTCTCACCCCGACCCCCTCCAGCGCCCACGTGCTCGCAGGGGCATGGAGACCTCCCCGGGGCGAGCGGGAGCCGGCCACCCCGCCGGCACCGCATGCCTCCGCTTGCCCCGAGTCCCCAGACGCGTCACAAGCATTAATTTAATCTCCCGTCTGCCCTAATTTACAGGGAGAGGAGCGTGGCTGAGGGGGTTGACCAAGGTCCCCAGAGCTGGGCGGAGGCAGAGGATGGCGTGACACCTGCACAGCCCGGCCCTGCCATGCTCCTGCCCCTCTCCTTCCCCTCCAGCCCATGGAACCGTCACCCTGTGCCAGCACCGGAGTCGGGAGAGCCCGAGATACAGAGGGAAACTGAGGCAGGGGGTGGGAGGGAGCGGGGGCTGCAGCCCCGAGCGGCGGAGCTTTACCTTCACCGCGTACTCCTTGTTGGTGATGAGGTTAACGCAGGACTGGACTCTGGCGTGGGCCCCTTCTCCCAGCACCTCCTCCTGCAGCTGGTAAACATCTGGCAGGGGAGAGGTGGCCTGAGCTGCTGGCCCTGCCACAGCGTGGGACTCTCTCCTCTCCCTGGGCTGTCCCCAAGCCTGGGGACACCAGGAGGGCCCCTGCCCCGTGCCAGGCCGGGGGGGACCCCCAGGACAGCCCCCACTCACCTTCGAACCTGCCGGAGAAGCTGTCGGTGGCTCTGCAGCGCTTCTTCTTCTTGTTCCTTTTCTTGGCGTCAGGGATATCGATGGGTTGACTTGAAGGCATGTCTGCACCGGAGCAAAGCCATCGGGGTGAGTCACCCCCATCACGCCCTACGGTGTCCCCCAGCATCGCCACCCCCAGGGCAGCCCCCCCAAAACCTTCGGGGGAGCGCAAAGGGCCAATATCCCGGGGGTTGGCATGGGAGGAGGACCCCTCCTGGGACGAAGCCCCGTGGGAGGGCACCCACAGCTCACCGGGACGGGGCGGGCACTCGAAGTTGAAGACGGGCTCCAGGTGGTTGGACTGGTCGAACTCCAGGTCGAAGGGGTTTTGTCCCTGTGGGGGCCAAGAACTGGAGTGAGATGGCAGCCACTGGATCAGCCGCCGCCGGCTGCCGGGTACGGACACGGAGCCCGGCACGCTCGTGGTCTTGGCATACGCTCTGCTCACCCGCCCCGTCGGTGCGGGACACGGCGCTGCTGCAGGAGGGACATGGCAGAGCCCCAGACAGAGCCATGGGAGGAGGAGGAGGAGGAGGAAGGTCACCTCATCTCCTGATGGGGATGGTACCGCGGGGTCATGCCCCCACGCCAGCAGCCCCAGGGACGATGAGAGGGGCCAGAGCAGCCCGCACCAACCCAACCCCAAATCTCCACCTAGACCCGAGCTACGGTGAGGGGGGGTAGGAAGAAAAGCCACAGGGCAGGACGGGCTCCAAAGCCACTGCGCTGCGTCCTCCTGGCTCCCCGCAAGGTCACAGTGGGCCAGGGCCCCCTCAGCCCTGCTCCGGTGACCAGGCTGTGGGACACCTGCGACCAGGCAGGATCAGGCCCCATCCCAAACCCTCCCCGCACCCCGGATGGGCGAAGGGCATGGGAACCAGTGCCACCCCCCCACAAACCCCAGTGGCTCCAGTCCCAGCACCCCAAAGGGGACATGGGGACCCTCT